TCGTATCTCGTAATTTAAAATTTCGCCCCCCCCCCCAATTTGCGGCCCATACGTCGTCATTGGTGGTTTCAGCAACATGACTCTCACATGCTGACGGGGTAAGGGAGAACACCGTATGAGCTTTCGGACGTTGACAAATTGCTTTTGATAAAACACGAGTTTTCTAAGAAGCATGCGATTATTTTTATTCCGATTCTTTGCACAATTTTGCTCGGAATTTAGTGAAAAATATTTGAAATTTTGTAGGCAAAGTATTCGCAACTTTTTTTTCTTCAAAAATTGACTTTTAATCGAGGGACATTATTTTGGCAACGTTCAAATGTGAATAAGGCGTTCTATTTCCGCGCACGGCAGCATGTGTGAGACAAATACGATAAAAATGGACGAATTTTACTCCTTCACAAACCTGAGATAACAGCAGCAGTAATTTAAGATTGATCAATTAAGATGTTCTAATTAAGAGGTGTCTAGAACCAAAAGCGGCAACCTCCATTGCCCTGTCTATAACTTGCGTGATCATTGTAATTCTACTATCGAAAGAACGAAAAAGCCTCCATGTTCATGTTTTCTCGTGAATTTTCTGTTATCGAGCGAAAAACTTTGAAAAATTTTAAAAACGGCGAAACGTTTTGGTTGTTCCTCGCACGAAATTATTATAATTGCACAGTTTTTAGACAGGGCTATGGAGATTGCCACTTTTGGTTCCAGACGCCCCAAATTTCCTCACCTTCAAATAAAAATTGAACTTTTCAAAAAATGGACTCAAACTGAAAGAAAAGATCCACTCAAAGGTTTTTAGAAACGATTTTACAATTTTCCTCCTACCACATCAACTGTGGCCTCCAAAAAATATCTCAAGTGCCAGGCACTGAAACGTAAGGATAGGCACGGTAGGGTGGTTGCCTACAGGGCGAAATCGAAGGCGAACTTCAAATGAGCGACACTTACCAAGATATTTACACTCACATCGGTTCAATTAAATGAAAACTTATCCAGCAGGATAGATGTGTGTTTGTTTTGTGGATAACTAGTCAAGCTCCGCGACATATCGTCACCTTCCAGGCAAAGTATCACAAGCGCCATGCGACGTTTAAAAATTTCCGCCGCCATTTTATTTTTTTACAGAGAAATTGTTCAACGAAGCTGTCCGAAAATTTCACTGAATTTTCTTTGTGCTGCCGATAAAATTTAGTGAAATTTCCAAACAGATTCAACCAACAATTTCTCAGTAAAGAAATAAAATGGCGGCGGAAATTTTCAAACGTCGCATGGCGCTTGTGATACTTTGCCTGGAAGGTGACGATATTTGTTGCCTATCTGACAAAATTGAAGGCGAACCTCAAGTGGTCCAGATCAATCAATAGGATCCTGGATCATGCGGCCACTTGCCGGTATTCCGTCATATGAAGCACGAGGTCACGATCTTAGGATGATCAAAAGGAAGCCCCCAGAATCATTGGCTCCAGTTTTCTTCCATCTGCTCTATTCTCTGTTTTTTTTCCCTCCTCTTCATCTCCTTATTTTTTCTTTTCTCTTATTTTAGCGCCCTTGCTGTCATTGCGTCTGGTAAAATCGCGCTTCACGAAGCACCTCCATTTGCCCCTGTTCTTTTCTAACCACTTTGCCTTGCATTGCCAATGGCACTACTGAAAAACCCTGAATCCTGAAAAAAAAGAAGAAAAAAATAGAATGATGTCATGAAAAAGACATTCCGAAGTACGTATGCTTTGTTTTTACATTAGGTGGGGTTTACTTCGTTAATAATCGCTTACGTTTTATTACTTTCGATTATTTTTTAATATTTATTTAATTTTATTTCATTAAACGGTATCGCAAATGGTGCCGCACAAGTTAGGTGTAACGATTAAAATTTTAAAAACCAAAAAATGGAATCTTAATATTATGGTATTGTAATAGCAAAAGGACGCGCTATTTCTGTAAGCAGCAAGGGACTTACACAGGGCCGGATTTTCCTACTTGCCGCCCCCTTCTCATTCGTTTTGAAACATCAATAAAAACCATCAAGAGAACGTGCCAGCGGGGGAGGGGTGCATAAGACGCGTTTACTCGTGTTGAACACATTTTTTGGGAAAGCCCTGTCAACACTACTAGCAAAAGGTCACGGAACTTTGCGCGAAAGTCAAGTTTCGTAAACCTATCTCTGGTGGACAAGGCCTTCCATTCATAAGAAATGAACGAAAAAAGTATGAAAGAACAAACACAAAATTTGGTTTAATGATTTTAACTTCCGCCGCCGCGCCGCGCCGATCGCACCGTATTTGGCGCAATGCGTGAAGTATTCACGCAATCTTGTAGGCGCTATCCGTTTCACGCTGACCACAATAACCGCACTCTGTTTGATGCAATGTGTGAAGAATTCGTGCAGTCTTGTAGGCGCTGATATGTGTTACATGCCGACGGCCGTCGCGCCGAGGGCTTCTCCTTTTCACCTCAAGTCCTCGTCATCATTTCTCTCCAGGTAAGTCGCGGCCGTTCCAGGCCAAATTGATTGTTTGGTTTCTCTCTTAACTCGATTAATTAAAGGTGCTGTCTCTTATATCACCGAAAGACGACAAAATTAGAAATTACTATACTCTCAGGAAATGAGAGATTTTGTAGCCTTCTCTCGTTTTTAAATTTTTTTCTGAATCAAATTTTTTTTTTTCATACCTACATTTAAAAAAAAAATTGTAAAATTTGCCGCCTCCAAATTTGCCGCCATGGGCCGCGGCCCATGTGGCCACCCCCTTAATCTGGCCCTGGACTTACATTAGGTACATTTTAAGGGTATTTGGACTACCTACATTACTACAAGCTACTTCTTTTGGTTCATTTTAGAAATATGTTTTACCCTAAGCAGATAGAGGATTCTATGGATGGATTAGCGAAAAATGGTAGTTACCTTTTGCAAAATGTAATCCAAATATGAATAAAGTGAATGTAAAAGTAAAATTGGGTGAGGATCGGATACACTTGTAGGATTTACCAGGGACGAGTTCTATGGTCTCTGGATTCACTTCTTAAGATAATAAATTCAGATATTATTGCTGATTCCTGCATTACATTGTTAAACCAACTAACAATAAGTATAAGTTACATAAGACCCTTTTTCAACTTTATGGCAGTATAAACGTGTTTTTACTTGGAATCACAAAAATGTAAATGAAGTTACATACATACATGTTTATGAATTGGATAGCATTTTGCAAAAAGGAACCAAGAGCATTCCAGCGTTGCTAGGAGCGTGCAACTTACATCCTTCGCTATAAAATTACCGAAGTCACGCAACAAATTATTTACAAAGGTAATTTTCGTCTTGAATTTATAGTTTGATAGGAGTAAAGATAAAACCTGTTTAGATGATCAGTTTTTTTTTTTGCAAGGTAAACAAATTTGCACCATCTTAGCGACATTGAAATGCTCATTATTTTGCAAAATGCAATTCAACTGATGATGAGCAAGTTTTCCTAACGAGCGCAATTTTTTTAAAATTTTCCGCCAAAAAATTTCCCGCGAAATATAATAAGGGTAACAACCATTAAAAAAATATACTGAAATGTCAAATTCTAAAACGTTATTGACAACCCGCCCTGTCAGTGGGAGTTCTTCCTAGAAATTAGAAATTTTATGAAAGAGTGAATCTTTTTAATGCCGTTTGTGTGCTCACATTTGGGCTTTTCTACTTGTAAATTTTAAAGAAAAATCAACAGCCTCTTCGGCTGAGTTTGTCACGTTGTTACAACTGCGAGAACGATAACAGATAACAGAATGGAAAAGTGCGGTTAACCGCATGCTTCAGCGATACTTTTTTCCAGCATGCCGAAGCCGAAGGTAAGAAATCAAATGCATTTTCTTTCTTTTTCCGATATTGTATCTCCTAAAGGTTTATCATTCATCCAAGGCCACAAGTAATCGCTCTAATTTCTGATCTCCGGATCGAATATCGAATTGAATTAATCATGTTTGATGACTATAATGCCTAACCTTCATCAGGTAAATCTCCAAGTGCTTGTCGTGAGATAATAAATTCCTTTTGTCCTCTCTGCTGCACAAGTTTTTCTCCCGTCAGTTTGATTTTTGTCTTCAGCAATTTGAATAGTATGTGACTGCTTATTCAGGTTTAGTCCAGTCCATTTTCCAGGACTGAAAATTTTTGTGCAACGTTAGGTTGCAGACAGAGCTCGTACATCGTATGTTGAGACAAACGTCAAAGTTTTTTTATGTCACCATTCACCAGTGGTTCCACCTGACTACATGTACGAACCTGTTGAGTGGTGTGAATTCAGAGCTGATCTGAGATTGACGTTTGTCTCAACATAAGAAGAACGAGCTTTAATGTTCCTCAAGTGATATCTTTTCCTCTTGACATGCCCGAAGTTCCATAGTTCCACACCTCCATTGAGCGCTTACCCATGCGATAAATCACCAGTGTGGCCTCTATCATGTCGGATAATTTAGCAATTGTCGATCATCCAGAGGATCCCCTCTTCTGCCTGTCAATTATCCTGCTTTTGAGGATGCGATGCTGGAAGCTCACAGTAGGGATGGACGCATGTGTTTATTCGAACATTCGAAACTTTTCAAATGCGATTATTGCGACTATTTGAGAATTCGAATCTTGCGATTGTGAATACTTCGGAAGCGAATATTCAAATATTTTCGATTTATGACTTTTTATGAATCGTGAGAGATAAATGACACTTTTAACTAAGACGATTGGTCATTCCTGTGTGAAGTTGTGGAGGAGTTTTAATTAATAACGAAATTGATGATAGGGATGGACGGTTTTCGAATTCGAATGCGATTCTTCGAATATCGAATTTGCGATTTCGAATACTTCGGAGGCGAATATTCAAATTTGATGCGATTATCTCGGTGCTGATAATTCGAATATCGAATATTCCATTATCTACATTTTTGACCATCCCTAGCTCACAGTTAAAGTGCTATGGTACAATGAATCAATCACACATTGTAGATCACGAATCAATTGCAGTGCCTGCGCACGCACCAAGAACTACCTGTTGGATACTACCTTTCTCCCTACCTTCACACTGGGTCTCTTTCTTCACATTCTGATTATTTTTGCTATGACAAATTTCAGTAGTGGCAATTCCTATGGAATGATATAGTATTTAGAAAATGCATCAGATGAAGGTGCCTTATTTTGTTTGTATCACATCATTATTGGGAGATAGCAGTTGGAATGAAATGTCAAATTTGAAAAGGATGCAATCGGTTTTTATCTTTAATGGCAGCTTTGCTCTACCTCTTGTCTTCTGTTTTTTAGGAAATACAGTGGAAACTGTGGAAATTGGTCTCATGTGATCTAGTTTGCCAACATGATTACAATAAGGATCTGAAACAGTCACAAGGATGAAATTCTTTGTTCCTGTGCTTCACAGAAACCTGCAAAATAATGCAGATTGAGGCCTGAAGTGTTGTCTCAAGAAGAATTTGCAAACAAATCTGGGACTCAATGGAACATCATTCAACCCCATCTTCCTTTCTCATGTTTGAGAGAAGAAGAGATAAAGCAGTTGGTAAGGAACCATTGAGTATATTTGCACAAATTGCAGAAAAACCATTTTTATCTCGGAAGAGTTATCAGAATGAGAATCCGGGGTATCTCCACGAAATTAGGAAAGTCCCTAAACAGTATTGATATCTTAGAGGCAACCTGGGAGTACTGAATAAGTATGGAAATACCGCAAGAGGTTCTGGAATTTTTCTCTGTAGGCGTGTCGTTTAAGAGTTTTAAGACAGTACAACCAATTAGGCATGTGAAGTGTGAGAATTCAAAACCTGATAAGGCCTGGTATCGGGCTATTGCCAAAATTATGCATGTTGCTCCTCAGCGTAAAAGAGCCTAAATGTCCACCCTTTATTTTTGTATGAGGAAATTTCCTCTAAATTTGGTCTCATAGAAACTGATGCCCAATCATAGCAACAGCTGTTGGCACTTACCTAGTTTTGAATTTCTACTGTCTCTTATAGAGAAGGAAAAAGTCACTATTTTTTTAGGTTAGTATGGCTTCCACCTGAAAATCTCAGTTTCGCTTGGTTCAATGAAAAGCACATCATTTTTGTCTCGATTCACGGGCTTTTGAAATTTTCGCATTTTTAGTACGTATAGAGAGAGGACTTAAATTTTGGGGAAAAATCTGGAGAAGTACTGTGAAACTACTGATATTTTCATGCAATGTTACCATCTATCTTAGTTGCAGTGTTTCAAAATGCTCTTATTTTATTTTTATTTCTTAATTAAGAATGAGCTAATATCACTCGTTATTCAAAATGTCCAAAGAATTTTTTGTTCAAGAAATTAGAAAAATTATAATTTTTTCCCCATGATTTTATCTCAGATAAGTCAACGCTAAACAATTTATGTTTTTCAGATTCCTCAATCATGGAATTGGAGTGGAAGAGCTCTAAATTGACAGCAGGAGAGGATCTTATGGGAGAAAATGATGATAGCTCCTCTATTTCGAGTTTAAGCTCCAAAGAACTTTTAATCAATCAAGATTTTCACGCTAGTCCATTAAGATTTTTTGTTATTTTGTTCTACTGCCTTTTATCTTTTTCGCAGGTAACTAGAATCTATTTTAAATTTTTCTGCAAAAAGCTCCAAGCTTCTCTACATTTTTAATCAAGACTGATAATTGATTGCTTCCCCATGAAGACTTAAAAAAAAATCAAAACCTTTTACCTAATAAATAAAAAATTTTCACCGTTAAAATTCTGTATTTTGAACCCTGTGCCCTTTTTGCTCCTATGTTATTCCGTTTTCACAAGGGCTTCCTTGTTTATTCTGCCTTGTAGGGTTTACCACATTTCATGCAACTGGCAGATTTTTAGACCGATCGCGTCGTAAGGAAGTTCATGCACCCCTTAGTTCCTGAAATTTCTTCAAATCTTGCAATCGATTTTTTGATTTTAATTTAAGACAAACTGTATGGTAATTTGGAACGGTTGCCTCTAGTTCTTCACTGAGGAGCACAACTTTTATGTCTGGTATAGTCATGTTAATGGGCTGACAGAAAGTAGGCTGCCCTAGAGAATGCTCAAGAGGGTTCCTCTTGGAATGAGACGAAGGGTACGCCCAATGTAAGGGTGGCGACAGTGGGTTCTAAATGAAATCCATAGCGCCAACTCTGCAAAGGGCTGTAAGAGAATAGGTCACAGTGGTGGCTAGGTGTCACAGAGCGCCAGAGACTACTGTGAAAGTGGCTTTAATGTATTGTATGTATGTAAACACAGCTTCTAGATTTTTCTTTTATGGGAGGCAAACTCACCAACAATTAAACTGATGTATCAAAGTTTTCTAAGTTTTTGCATTCAGTGCAATGTTTCTATTGTAATCTTTCTATTGTAATAAATAATGTAATCTCAATTTTTCCAACTAAAATTTTTTCAGGTTGTCATCAATAACACATGGGGTCCAATAGCAGACTCAGTTTTATTTGCGTTCCCAGAGTGGAAGCCAAACGTCATCACCTTGCTCGCAAACTGGAATAGTTTGACAGTGCTTGTCTTCATCTTTCCTGCAGTCTGGTTTCTCAACAAAAAAGGTATTGAATGACTTAAATCTAGAATCTGTGTAGATAGCTGCATAGGTACATTGCTTTTTAAGTACACTCAGTCATCAAGGGTCGATAATCTTCCAAGCTCTCCAAGAATTGTCAAATCAGAGTTGAGCATCCTCCAAGAAAAAGTCATGAAATTTTTTCCCCCCTCAGTCAAATCGCTAGTTACCACCCAAGCTCGCCACCATAACTCCAATTTAATTGTTTTTTAAACAAAATCTTGTACGATTTTGTGAAATGGGGTGGGGGGACAAAATCATAATTGCGGAAATAAAATGATTTTTTTGTTTTTTTAATGGCTTTTCAAGTGTTTCCAGGCTTTCAAAGTTTTCGCGCTATCTCGCAGATTATTGACCCCTGCCAGTCATCAATTACAAAAAATAAATAAAAACTTACAACATTAAGACATATAAACATCAGTAGCATGTTCAGTGCTGCTCAGTTTCATATAAATGATGGATATTTACAGGTTTGCGCTTTTCCTTCATGGTTGCAAGTGGACTTAGCTGCGCAGGAGCTGCTTTGAGATGTTTGCCAGTGCCCTCTCATATTTTTGTGTGGTCTGTACCTTTCTATCCTTTCCTTTCCCAATCCTCTAACTGTCCATCCTTTGTTCATCAAGAAAAAAGCCTCCAAAATTTACAGTTTTTTAAACTAGCCACATCTTCATTATCTTTCTCCTCAATTCTTCATTACCTTCAGTGCTCCATGACAGCCTAATATTTTGCAACGTGTTAGCATCAGAAAGCAAAATGGTCATACCATCCCTATAAAATAAACTTGAGTAGATTGCAACTTCTTCATAGGCCAATCCTGTGTATGACACTTCCTCTTTTGTCCTGTAGAATGTTTTGCTATGTAAGTCTCTCCCAATTTTTAGGCTGTTGCATGTGTGTGCAGTCCTTAACGCTGTTGCTGGAATTCTGCTCGGCCCGTCAATTGTCATGCTCTCATCTCTATGGTTTCCTCCAAATGAAAGAACCACAGCAACAGGTTAGCTAATGAAATTTTCTGCCTAATTTGATCATTGTTTCAAATTGCATGTTATCTGCCATGGGTCTGTGTTACATTTTTCAGAACTAAATATTTATACTATTACCCAGAACAGTATAAATTCGACTCTTCAATGATGTTTAGTGTACAAAAAGATTTTAATAGCTGAGTAAAGAGTGTATTTTCTAGACGTGGAAACTCAAATTTTTTTCAGTGGGTTTTCTTTAATGGGAAACGTTTAATTCCTAAAGTAAATGCATCTGAAAACCATTTCTTACGTAATTTTGGCAAAACTCTGAGGTGTCATCACGTAAGGAGAAACTAATGAACAGGATCACCTTGAAGTTTTTCTTAGTATTTCTTTCTTTATCAAAATTTATCTCTGTAATTTCCCTAAAAATATGTTCAGAAGTTATAAAGAACATATCAAAATAATATAAAGATGTCTGGCCACCAAATTGTATATGGCGCTTGTGATACTTTGGCCGTTAGGTAATGATATTTAAGTGGAACGTTAGTTCCACTTAAATATCCATAGGAAACATTAGTTTGAAAAATCCGAGAGGAGATGCGCCCAAAAAATGTCAAAACCAAGCCTGAGTTATGATAGTTTAATGTTGGCAGTCCAAAAAATTTAGTAAAAAAAATGCTATTCAAAGTTTTAATCTCCTACATCATGTCATTACCCTCCATTTATCTGCCCATAAACAAGCAAAACGTACCCAACAAAAGGTGCCATCCATCAAAAACTTAAATTTCAATATTTTGTTAAAGTTGACAAAAACTGCTCTCCTAAAGAAATTCGCCCCCTAAATCTTAAGTCCTTTATCCTATGGACAAGCATAATCATTCTACTACCACTTTTGGTGAATGAAATCTTTTATTTTTTTATAGGAATTGGAACAGCTTTCAGTTTACTGGGAATAGCTGGTAGCTATTCTCTAGGTCCACTCATAGTCCACACTGAACCGCCCAATCCAGAATTGAACAATCTTTTGAAATCATTTCCGCAAGAGAATGTTGCAGAGACTGGTTGCATCGATTATTTACGCTCAGCTATTCGACGAGAAATAAAACAGTACATGTTCATTTGTAAGTTTCTGTAAGTCTCCTCTTAGTTACATCTTATTTATCCTAAATCAGATTTTTCTATGATACCAACTGAAATTCTCTCGCCATGAACAAAAATTTCAAGTCATTTAACTTTTCATAAACGTCTTCAGTTTCATTTTTTGAAGCAAAAGTTTGACTGACCCACTAAGCAAGGCATGAAGAACAACTCAATCAGCCATAAAACTCAGTAAAATAACTACTTGATCCAGGGAAAAGCTGCTGCAAAATAAAAAAATAAATTGCAAATAAAGTAGTAAGGTTTGAGCTAGTTACAACCTCATTTTACATTGAAGAAGTGTGAGTCATCGATCCACTGTTATTGTGAGGTCAAAACCGATGTCTCGGTGTCACATTAACTGTGGAATGATGACTCATTTTTGCCTGCATTTTTCGATTGAAAATGAGATTGTAACGACTTGAAACGTTTCAGATGTGTTTTAATTAATATTTTATATTTTGCTGCAGCTTTTCTTCAGATTAAGTTGTTATTTTAAACAGGGTATGAATTTGATCACCACTCTACACATTTCCTCGCTAAAATTTTCTTCAAAATACAGTGATCACTTTTAAACTTGTTCTTGTCTGCAGGTTTTGGATTTGAGGCACTGTTGTTGATTGGAACTCTTTTATTATTCCCTGAAAAACCATTCAATCCCTGTAGCAGAGCATCATGCATCTCATTAGTTTGCAAATACAGTTTCAAAGATTCGTTTCGAAGTATAATCAGGTATGTATTCAAATTCCATTCATTCCTTTTGATTATTAAATCAATGGTATGTCATTGATAACCAGCAATCTTTTTCTTCTCTATGAAGAAAATAAACTTGTTTTTATGAGACATTTCACATGTTAGTTTTACATGCAGAGGTCATGAATTTCTATCCGGCATGTCAGTTTAATCGTTGCTTTTCTCTTTACTTTCCAGAAATCGTAGCATTTGGGCTTTGTGCATATCTGCCGGATTGAGTACTGGAATGACAGTTCCGTGGGTCTCTCTTTTGACAATTACACTTTCCCATAGAGAAATCCCTCAGGTAAACAATGGCAAGCTAATCAATCTCTCCATGAAGTTGTCTGAATATTTTTGAATAAGTGAAACAACTTTACAAGAAAATTGAAGAAAAATTGTTAGTTTGTTTTCTTTGAAAAAATAAATTATGCAGAGATTTGCAATGTTGCATTCAGAGACGCGCATTTTTCGACCTTACCCATTGATGTAAACGTATGTACTTGAATTTTTATTGTCCAATGAAATGGTACTAATATGAACTAAGACTTACAAAAAACCTGATAAAGGAATGTAAAATGTTTTTGAAAATGATGCATTATTTTTCAATGCAGGAGAAAATTCCAAGTCTAATAAAGACGAAACTCCAACGGCATACGAAAAGAAAACTGCTGAATTATCATCTGGCATGTTAAAAATCTACGTGACTCTAGGTGCTTTGGCTGTTCATTCAACCTTGCAAAGATATTACACTATCAGCCGCAGCGTCAATTTCAACACTCTAGAATTGTTTTGCAGATTTTTAACAAAGTTATATCTCCGAAGTTTTTTGGTGCCTTAGGAGTTTCGTAGAAATTTAGAGATTTTTCGAAGTGCATCAGGTATGTGATTTCAGCTTTAAATTCATCAAAAATTATGAGTTTGTGATGTGCCTATTCTAATTAATTCAAGTGCTCAAAAGATGGAGTCCATCAGTCAATTTTGGATGAGAGGTACAAAGTTAATTTTTGAATTGTACTTTTCACCCTCAGACTGCAGCTGCACGATTAGGACTGTGGACAATTGTTAGTGCGTCTGCCTTGGGTCTGTCGGTGAGCCGCTTTTCAGACATGTTTCAGGGGTACCTCAAACACACAATCCTTGCTTTCCTCCTCACCTCCGCCCTAACATTTGCCGGAATTTTATGGCTCTTTCTCACTTGGGACCCTGCCTATCAAGGTTAGTATATAAGTGCTCTATTTTTTCCTCTACACCATTTCATTTTTTTCTTCATTTTTTCCTTTACCTTTTTTTTAGGCACCATTGAAGATTTTTTAGGGGCCAGATTGACTTTTTGCCTATCTATTACAGAGAATTTAGTGAAAATTTAGACGCATGATGTTTTCGTAACAGAACTAGTAAGTAGCTGTAACTTGGGAAAGACAAAGGCACTAAGGATGAAATCGTAAAGAATAGAAAAAGCTTTCGTGCTGAAAATTTCGAATAATCACCTGGTATGAAAATTCAGATTTTTAGAGGCCACGTTGGTGCAGAGACTTCATTTTTTAGGCGCATTCGGCACGTTAGCGCCTGTGAGTTTCGAACACTGTCGTCTAACATTTGTTGAGGTACAAAGGGAAAAAACCTCCTCATTAGCTGAATTCTAAATCTAAGGTGAAACTCCATGAACATGTCCCTTGATCATGGTGTTTCACCACTTCTATTTAATTTTATTAAGAGACTATCACTTAACGTTTCCATTGAACATTTTCAGGAAATATTTTTGAGAGGGTGAAGAAAAATTATATGATATGCCCTGCAAATAAGTGATAGTTCACTCATTTAAAATAGGCATTGAAGTAGGAAATCTGAAATCTTGCAAACTGATCTTTGAGGTCTTAAAATTTTACCATTGCATAAGAAATAATATCACTTCTTCATATGTAAGATGTCGATTTGTTTTTGATCGTCATGTAGTGTAATTTAGAAACTCGTGTTATCAAAATTTTCAGAGGATATTCTCAAAAAATTGAAAAAGAAGATAAAAAAATGCAGAGAAACGATGATTAGGCATCCGTTAAGAATGAAAAATTTAACTGCCGCCAACAGAGATCCCTTTTTCTTCTAGTTTCACTATTCCAGTGTAAAGAGTTCAGTGTGTATTTCCAGTGTATTTCCAGTGTGTCTTTAGCGCAAATCCATGCAAGTAGTCTTCCAACTGAAGAAACTATTGTCAGTTTTTAAAAGTTGTCACACTTTCTAAATCCATGTTTTTGCTTGACTTCTAAAAATGATCTCTTCTTCCAGCCTAGAAAATTAAGTTACAGATCCAAATGTTGCAGTTTCCTTTTTGTGTTTTTACCCAGAGACTCACTGTTTTCAGACAAACTTATGTTGTTAATCTTACTGGGGGTATCAACATCGTGGTCTACGCAAGCTCTTTTCTACGAATTGGGATCTGAAATGGCATACCCTGTCCCTGGCGGAGTCATCGCTGGATTCATGACTTGGCTCTCAAGTTTGTGTACTGCCATTGTTTACATTTTCCTCTATCTGTGTCCAAATATTGGTAAGTTATCAGCCTCTTTGGAACCTGCTTTTAATTGCTTTATAATGGAGATGTTGCATGTGTGAGGAATTTGCGATTTGACTGTTGATTCATATGCAAAAGTTTGCAAGAAACACGATGGTGCCACTGGTTTTCTCTGAAATGATCTCCCAAGCTCAAAAACAGCTCTCAACTTGAGGCCAAAATGGAGGGGATATCCCACGCTATCCTGAGAGTCCACTTCTACATCAAGATAAACTCTCCATGCAAAGATAAGGAGCAAATACATTGACAGGGCTGCCACTTTATTTGGAGACTCCAAAACTGAAAACACGGCAACCTTGCTAATGTATTTGCACCCTATCTTTGCATGGAGAGTTTGTCTTGATGTAGAGGTGGACTCTCAGGATAGCGTGGGATATCCCCTCCATTTTGGCTTCAACTTGAGAGCTTTTTTTGAGCTTGGGAGTTGATTTCAGAGAAAACCAGTGGCACCATCGTGTTTCTCGCAAACTCTTGCATAAGAATCAACAGTCAAATTGCAAATTCCTCACACATGCAAATCTCCATTTTCAGTTCAGTTTTCCAGTATAAATAGGTTCTTTCTTAAGGTGATTCATTTTGAAGTCTGGTTGTGGTTGCACCAACATGCAAAGTGCCGTATTTATTTGGTTTAAAATCTTGGCAAATTTTGATTTTTTAGGCCAGGAAACAATGATATAAATATCAGTGTGTCTACAGGTGTAGATAATTAAGAATTGTTAGGGAATTTCATCAAGGCAGGTTTCATAAAAAAGACTGGAAATTTGAAAAATCTTGAAAAATATAAAAAACACATGCTGCCTGCATAATCAAACTTTTCATAAAAAAGACTGGAAATTTGAAAAATCTTGAAAAATATAAAAAACACATGCTGCCTGCATAATCAAACTAAGTCTTTTCCTGATTCGAGGTTCGATGCGCTGAATTACATTTTGAATGATAAATTGAAGAATAATCTTTCGTAAGAAAGGACTGACTCTTGACAATTTTTAATCTTATCATTTATTTTATTTACCAGATGACTCATGGTTGACTCTTGGCGCAGTCATGTACAACATAGCAGCGTTTTTTGTGCTATTATCGGTCAAAGTAAATTACAACAGATCTGCTGTAGACAGAAAAAGGTGATAGTCTAACTGAAAATATTCGATTTTAAGCTTCTGTTCTCTTTGTTCCTCTAAGTTTTCCTCTCTCCTATTACACTATTTCTCTTTAACTGGCTTTTTCCTTTCTGGGTGGGAAGAATAGAACTGCTTTGAGTTGCTTTGAAAGTATTAGTTCTCAGTTATTTCAAGAGAGAATTGTTTACTTTAGGGGTAAAGAAAATGTGATGAGGGTAAATTTGCAGCATAGCAAACAAATTCAGGTTATTTCCTAAAAGTGAAAACATTTTCCATGTAAATTCAAAAATTTCGGCAGAAAGGGTTTAACATCGAAACTTTCTGCACCCCTTGCTTACTCATTATCTTTTCCATATTTTTTCATTTTTATCTCCAGATATGTGACCGTTTTACGCGGAACAGCGAGAAAACGTTTAATAAAAACTTGGAGCTCATAAGGTTTCTTAGTTGGTTTTATTTATCACATCGCTTGCAATGATAAAAGAAGCACAGTACTGTCAACCCATACGAGCATTTGCATTAATTTAAAACTAGACTAACTCAGTATGAAATAAAGGATTAGCACCCCTTCAAAATAAAATATTAAAAAAAGTCACAGTACCAAGACAAAGTAAACCATAGAACCTAAACAATGTTTGTACATTCGAGCAACAATGCCCCAACAAAACTTTGTGTGGTAAATGGAGATAAAGGCAGCACCATGTTGTTTAAAGAAAAGGGGGGGGGGGGTTTATCAGTCTTGATGCATTGGATCAAAGCCTTTTTGAAGAAGTCAGCTGAAAATGCCTTGAGCCTGTGCAAAGAATAAAATCAATTTGAACACTTTGACATCACCTAATTTTTTCAATTTAGTATGAGTTCGCTGAACAACTCCAGAATTTTTTTCTCCAAAATATTCAGAAAAATTTATTCACCATTCAAGATAGTGGACGTGGGAAGTTTCAGAAAGATTATCTGTTTCTCCGCCAAAAAAAATATTTTTAAGGAATTTTTGCAACATGCTCAAGTAAAGTTTTTTCTCAAGATGACAGAGTGAACCGGATAATTTTTTTTTATGGTCACCCCTTTATACAAAATCATCATCAAACTTATTTGTTCAGAGAAAGTTTTTAATGAAACCCAAAGCAAGAAAATGTATTTGTCTGATTGGATCTCTCCCGCTCTAATAGCAGTTCGTTTAATTTTTGATAATCTTCTTGGACGTTTTCCGGCAAGATTGGCTGACCATCATAGTTCATCAATGGACGTCCATCACCGTCAAGAATTAAGAGAGGTCGGCCGCTCGAGTCAACAAGTGGTCTTGTCGACTGCATGAATGGTAAAGGCTCGAAATCATTGTCCGGCTGAAAATCATAATTATTTGCTCCTTTTTCTTGAGTGCAGTGGTAAACAAAGGTCTCCTGGTTAGCATACGAACAGTTCGTGTAATCAGTCAGGGTATGCACACAGTTTCCTGTCTCCCAGTAATTTGGCACGCCGTACTTGTTGGGGCTAACACTCCTGGCAGGCAGGGTATGGTACTTTTTTGCTGACAAGTGGTGGCTGGGTTGTTTTGCACTGATGCAGGGTTGCATCCGACTGATATACTGCTGGAAATCCTCTTGACTCGGAGAGCGGAAATACGGGACATCTTCTAAGTGGCCTGGAAAGTTATCGGTTAAAGGGAAGGTATCTGAGGGAATCGAGCGCTTTGCACTGTTGCAAGGCTGAGTTTTTGAGTTTTGGTTTGTCAGAGGTGCAGTGCATGATAAGCATGTTTTGTGACTCGAGGTGCTTTCGACGGGTTTTTTATGGGAACAAGTTTTAGGCTTTCTATCGATTTTTGATTTGCAATCGTTTTGTTTGCTCTGCTCTAGGGCTTCTGTGATATCGATAACTGCGTGTTTGTTGCAGCTGGCAACGGCACATTTTTGCGGAAGTGTTTTAAAGCCGCCTTCCTTGGGCTCATTCTCACTCCAAACTCTTTCGTTTTTCGGAGATTCTTTGAAACAACCATGCTGCCATTCTGTATGTTGATGGGAGCAGGTTCTATGTTTACGTATATGTTCCTGCAAGCTGCGTGAGCGCTGATCGTTTACATCCACACCAGTTGATCCATCTCTTTCATTGCCACCATGATTGACTTCCCTTAGGGCCAAGCCGCTTTCCCTCTCATTAATTTTGCTTTGTTTCCGGTTCATCGTTTGAACTATAACGGATTCACTTAAACTGGAGTCTGACCCCTCTTCCTCAGACAATCTGCTGGCCATACTTCCGAACCCTTCGAAGTGATGAGAAGCTGAGTTTGGTATCTTGTTGGTGCAGCCAGCGGGAACATTTTTGGGTTTAGAGACAGTGTCGGAACTCAGTTTTCCCAAAAGATACCGCTTTTTTATGTCAACCTTGCCTTCTTTTTGTAGGGACATACCAGAATTCTGTCTCACGAGCTGCGTTAGCATTATGTTTTTTAGTGGATCATTTGAGGATCTGTTGTTTTCATTTTGTGTTTGTTGGTTTTTGTTTTGTTGAGGCCTCCTGAAGTTCTTGGTTGTGAACACCTCTTTTTGATGGAAGTCCGGGACGCTGATTCTGCTGAGGATGCCAAAGTTCCCATTAAGTCTGTTCTTCCTGTATCTATTATTCACACGAAGAAAAGAGTAAATAAAGAGAGGACCTAGCTTTAAAAGAATATGTGAAAGAAAATTGCAATTAAACAATCTTCGCCATTGTTTCAAGTTTTTAACAAACACATTTCACCACTTGCTAGGTTTTTTTAATTTTCAAGGGATATTTTGAAATTTTTTTCGATCATGTGAAAAAGGACTGGAGTGAAGTAGACTCAATTAGCGTCATTGAACAGAGGAGTATCTAGTGAACTTCTTGGTGCAAAAACCAGCCGAAACAGGCAAACTAAACCAGAGTTACTACTAGAGAGAGACTATTTAAAGTTCTCAATGGACCACTAGACAAGGTACGAATTTAAGCTTTCTGATACGTCTTTCGTAATTAGAATCTCACGTAGAACTTAATTCTTGCATCAGAAATTACTGAAAGCAACTCCTAACTAAAATATTAACGTTTTTATTTATATTGATCAGGGGAATTTTGAATTGCTCGGTCACAAGAAACACAATACTCTAGGTGAGTCAAATCGCGCCTTCAAACAATTTTGGCAGGCTTCTCAATCTAGCATTGTTGCTTGCCCACCTTGTGTCGTTCAAACTGTAAACAATTTGTCAGAGCTAAGCCAAAGCGTCAAGATTGAGGTCGCCAGATTTTCATATCGCGGAATGGTAATGTTTAGTGTGCGATTTGACATACGTAGATTATTGTGTTTTCATGAGCGGGAGGTTTGAATGCACATTAAATATCTTAGTTGGGAGTTAATTTCAGTATTTTTCAGTACGCAAATTGTGTTCTACGTGAAGTTTTTTTTAGGAAGCATATATCAGAATGCTCAACTTAGTACCTTGTCTAGTGGTCCATTCAAAAAATGTTTGTATTTTATGTTTTTATTTGTGAAAGTTTTTTTATTTTTATTATTTTTTTTTTATAAAGAGGGCAATTTCCTGTCGGACAATTCATCCGAAAAACCAGGGCAGCAAAAATAATCAGTGAGAGGTGTCTAGGCTATTCTCAGCTGGTGAGTGTCACTGATAATGGGAGTGACGGATTTCTGGTTGTAAAAAGATAAGAGCCAGTTATAACATTATATGGAATCAAAACGATTCTAAAATTTGATTTTCATTTCACATTTTGAACAACTAACCCCAAAAAACCCTACTTTTTCGGCCTCATCTTGAAACTTCTGGAACAGAAAAGATGAATCATTACCTTAATTCATCTAATCTGTAGTCCACTGGCGTATTATTTTGTCATTGATTAGTGATTACCTCTTGTTGAATGTATCGGATGGAATCTTGCTGACAGAGCTGTCTACTGGGCCGCTAGTTTTTTCAGAATCTCCTCCATTCCAAATGTGAGAAATCCCAGGTCCTTTTTGTATTTTTATCTGGCTTGTTTCAATTTTGACATCGATTTTTGAATTTTGCTGGATTAAACTCGTATCAGAATCCCTTGGGAGTGACACTTGCCCATTCATCTGGAAGTTTTTCTCGAGATTCACTTCAAATTTGAATTGATTTGTCATGTTTGAGTTGATTTCGTCCATTCTCGCTCTCGCCAAGCAGCCAGTATCACTCAAATCCCTATCTTCTTTTCTGCTGTTTGACTGACCTAGAATACTTTTCTCATAATTATTTTGAGTGGGAGTGTCTTGACTACCCCCTCGAGCATAGTTAAAGGATGAATTGAGAAATGGGTTATATAATGGTATCGTATCTTCTTTGGAATCTCTCCCAGATAAATTTGCTACGCTGTTATTGAAGTTTTTCCTATCTCGACCAGATAATCTTTCGAAAATCTCAGCTTTAGCCGTAGCTTCTCTATTCCAATCAGATATTGTGTTTTCTTCCAATGTACCTCTTACAGCACTCTCTTTTTCCAGTCTTTCTTGTTGATTGCTATGTCGTCTGTTTCCTATGGGCTCACAAGAGTCTAAATCTTCTTGCTCTGAAGTTGGCACAGAAAGTTGCGACCTCCTGCTACGAAGTTTTGGATCTCTATGATGAGTTTTAAGTCGGTTTTTCTGCAGTCTTTTTTGTCGTGGATGTCTCACTTTGTACGTGCTTTCCTGTGACTTGGAACGGTAGATCCCTCGTGCATGATTATTCAGTTTCAAATGGTCGCAAGTGTCATTTTCTTTGTAAACATTGTAGGATTTGCTTTGAATCCTCCTTCTTCTCCTCCTGGAGGTAACATCTGATGAAGTCTCGACATCTCCCACCCTGTATGTTGATCCCATTTTTGAGTGTTTATTCCTAATTTTTCTGCGAGAATATTTCCCCACTCTTGAGCTGGCATTTTGGTTGAAGGGCATATAAGAAAGCATAGTCAGTGAACTTACGTCATTACTGCCCTGATATGAAGTTATTTTTTTTACCCTAGTATTTCTCTCGCATAATTTTTTTTCTTTATACCTCGGCCACTTTTTTGGCTGTTGGCGTCCTAATGTTTTCCTACACTTAATTTTGCCTTTCGTTACTTCAGATTCACATTTTTTAATGTATCTAATGTTCAGTTCTTCGACAAAATCACTGACCAAGCTCTCGGCATCCCTGTTGAATTGACCATCAATTTCTGACATTTCTTCTTGGTTTTGAAATCTCCTGTGCTTCCCAGAAATTTTTTCTGTAGGGAAAAAAGAAAGTGAGGTTACAAAAAGACAAAACTTTTCAGATATAGATAGTTTAGGTCTTGACAAAGGTCATAGATATCTCATTTGACAGAAAGGTTCGAAGAAATTCATGGATAAGAAAACTGAATTTCAGCAACAACTACGCTGTAAACTGGTGAGAACACTGGTGGTGGTGAGAACACAGTGAGTCTCTTGATGACAGTAAATACGAACAGTTTACAGTTTGACAGGTAGAGTCATTCGTCTCTTTGCTCCCCACAAATCTGCACCTCGCTTCTCTAATCCTCATGTAAGACCTCTGGCAGACCAAAAGTAGAAAAAGAAGAGAATGAGATGCGATTGCTATTTTGTACAACAAGAATTTCTCACTATCAAAGTATCACATATCATACTTATGATGGTTTTTTCTATAATTTCCATAAGTTTAATTAGCAAATGCAAAGAATGTTTTTCAACACTACTTTCATTCCTAAATGAGAGGAAAGTATTTAATGTCGTAGTAATCCCATGATGAGTCTAAAATTCTCCAGTCAATCGAAAAATTTGACGAAACAACTGACTCTACCAATAATCATCAGAATTTCAAATGGGTTTTCCATTAGTTTCATGTGTCTCACACGGTGTCAACCCCTGTGAAAGCACTTGGAGAGTTAAAACGTTTCAAAACAAGCCCAAAATTATTGAATAATTCTGGAAATGATACAAATAGTCTGGAAGTTTTTGAATCTTGAAATTTGATGGTTATGCTGCAAGCAACTTTGCAGTAACAGCCAAAGGTGCAAACGCAGTTTATTAAGGTGATTCGATGGACGCCATAATTTGTGTCAGAACGGCATGCGATATATCGCATCAATTGGTTCCATTTTTTCAGCTACTCGTCATGTTTCTCCAATTTTGAGATCGCAATTCTGGTGTCAGGGGACTAAAGCAATCACTTACCAATTTTAACAAAGAAATTCAACGTAATAAAGGCGTGGTTTTTTCAGAGAGAAAACATCGCATTCTTCGATACTGAATCGAAACTGCACTCGAATTCGATATTTTCTCTCTGAAAAAACCATGCCTTTATTACGTTGAATTTCTTTGTTAAAATTGGTAAGTGAGTGCTTTAATCTCCTGACAACAGAATTGCGATCTCAAAATTGGAGAAAAATGACGAGTAGCTGAAAAAATGGAACCAATTGATGCGATATTTCGCATGCCGTTCTGACATAAAATATGGCGTCCATCGAATCACCTTAATGATTATAGCCGACACCTTGCATTGTGTTGAAAACTAGCCCAACAATGAAAGTAAATCATATTGAATGAGTTTGACGAACAGACGACGTACCAATTGAAGCATTCTGATTAATATTTTCTTTTCAAAATTTCATTTTTAACACGACTTGTGCTACGAAAATTACTGACTTTAACTTCTGACTCAGGTATTAACGTTTTTATCTCTTATTGGTCACAAAAGTTTTGAATTTTCTGCTCATAAGAAAAACCAAAGTCTGCTCTAATCAAATCGCGCTCCATGCCGGTCTTGAAAAGTTTCTTAATCGAGCAGCGTTCCTTCCCCACCCCTTTTTTTCCAAAGTGTGAACAACATGCAACAATTGAGCTGAAGCAGATTAAGGTTGCCATATTTTCATGCGGCAGGGACTATCACGTTAGCGTGCTTTTTTATTCAAGTGGATTATGGTTTTTTACCAGCAGACATTTTGAATGTGTGCATCAAAAAACGTTATTATCTTGGTCAGCAGTTACTCTCAATTGATATTTGTCTCACAAATCATGCTCTAAAAGAAATTTTGATCGGTAAAAATGGATCATAATGCTTTCATTCGTACCTTATCTAGCTGTCCATTAGAGGTACAGCTCTAATATATTGACGGTGAAACTGCAAAAATGCATATCTCAGTTGCGGTATTTCGAAATCTCTGCTTCTATTCCATTTTTTAAAAGGAAACCAAACCAACATTTTGGCTTGAAGTTTTCACATAGTATTCTTCATGGAGAGAAGAAAAATCACTGAAATTTGCAGAAAACGATGTTCAGTTGTTTTCCATGTAGAAAATGAAGTATGATGGGAAGTCTGCAACGCCGCAAATTGAGATATGAATTTCTGCAGTTTCACCATGGATATTGTATTTTTGGGAAGAGGATGAGCAAAGGTTAGGAGCTGTAAGCATGAAGTATTAAATTTTGACTCACCTACACTGAACTTCCCTAGTTTCCGCCTGCTGTAATTCTGCTTAACAGCAGTCAAAGAGCCTCTCTGACAGTATTTCAAGGCATCTATCACATCATTGATATGAAGAGGAACCACTTTCACACTAGCATCATCCCTCCTCTCCCCTCTCCTGAAGCTTTCCTTCCTTCTCCTCTCCTTGTGCCGAACAGTTCCCGATTCCTTTGCAGGAATGATCTGTGCACTATCTCCCCTGCCATTCTTAGTAGCATTTTGGTCAAATTTCTCACTGAAATTTGACTTCTGTAACTCACAAGCACTTGAAATCCTCAAATGTTTAGTGTCACCAATCTGAAAGATCCTTTCAGCTTTCATGGTCGAAGTGAAATCGTTCTCACTTTTATTTTCACACCTTAATTTTAAACCATGTTTTGAGGTTATCTGCTATATCTCTGATAGCATTGAGATCTCTAATTTTGACATGATAATAATTTAGACCAATTTACGAGAAATTTAAATGAAACATTTTGGTTAAGTTGGGGGAAAAAATAAACAATGAACAGCCAGTCATTCTAAGATTCATTGTTTCCATAGCGACATATTATTTCTTCTTTCTGCTGTCTTCTCTCTAATTGTCATTTTAGTAACACCCAACTTGGTGGAAATTCCATCTACTAATAAATTTTGTGTTTCTTGCTAAGTCCTTATTTTACCCCTATTGTAACTCAACAAATCTTGGTGCATTATTTCTAATTGCATCAAGAAAAATTATAGAGAACAGCTGATGCAGCGTGAACAAAATAGAAAAAGCTCCTCTATCAGCTGTTGGGGCTTTATTGAAAGCTTTTTTGAGGTCCTCAGTTGGATTTAATCTTCAGGAGGCATTTCGACAGTGAAACTACCAGACCACGTATCTCGTTTGCGGTGTTTAAAAATCTCCACTCACATTTTATTGTTTCGAAGGAGATCAAATCAATATCATTCCTTACAATTTTCACAGATTTTTCTCCGCACAAAGAGGAAAAATCACGAAAGTTTTCACGAATTGACATTGAGTAGTTTTCTATTTAAAAAATAAAGTATGACAGGAAGTCTGCGACGTCGCAAACCGAGATACGTGGTTTGGTAGTTTCACTGTCAATTCGTTTTGCGTGCTCAATGGAATGCCCTCTGTAAAATTTATCGTAAACTCTTTGGACAGGGATCTTTCCAGAGTTCGGTGATCAGAGCATTGTTCGTTTGACCTCCAGGATTCTCTAGAGGTCATTATTAAAACTGGTATTTGGTTCATCAATCTTCATAGATCAATAAATAATTGACTACTTTTATGCCTTATGCTGCAATTCCTTAGATTCAGAATGCATTTCTTGATATTATTTCCCTGAGAATTTTGTCAAGCTGCTTCATTATTCAAATACTTCCATGAGCATAGTATCTATTTCGTTAAAAAATTGAAGTCTTAATCTAGTTTAATATGTGAAAAAAAAACTAATCTATTTTCTATTCAGTAAACAAATGGGTTTTTTGAAGAGAATGTAGCTGGAAAAAAAAATTCGCTGAGAAATGTGTCAATGGGCACCAACTTTTTGATTTCATTATAAGTATGGAGTGAACCAAACTTCTAGGAGTTTTCCTAGATGTTGTTTAATCCAAAATCGTGAATAGCAAAGAAACCCTGTTTTGAAAATGCCAGAAATGGTGCCTGTTTGAAACAATAATTTTGGCAGGCTCTGATGACGTAGCCTAGCGGGGAAAACTGCGTATACTGACCGGTTTATCGCAGCTTCCGGCATTGCTATGCTATGTCAGCTTTTAATCGGTTGGATTTTAATTAGCTTTTCCTACCCTTAGAATTGCGTTTTTAATTTTTTAAGTAAACATTTTGGTTTTGTCACAAACTTTAACACAAGCGAACCACACCACAACCCGAAAAAAATCATACTGCCTCTTGAAATCTATTTGCAGCGCTTGACACTCCAGCATAGAAGTATTGTCAGCTTTGATCAAAGAAATTAAGATTTCTTTCTATTGAAAAGAATTTGATCACAAAAACAACTAATATGGATGCGTTTTTCTTTTTCTCAGAAGTCAAAAACAGTAAATGCAAGAGCAAGTCATAACTAATTGATTTACTCATGTGTTCTGCTACATATGATATCTTTCTGAGGTTCTTGCGGTTACAGTGTCAAAAGTATTTCACAGGAGAAGAAAAGGGGCGCAAAAAAGTAGAAAAAATTTTTTTTGTAATACTTGAAGGTATTAACTAATTATCCCTGTTGTCAATTTAGTGACCCGTCTATTACCTGTTTTCAAACACATACAAGGAATGCAGGAAACACAAAAATTCTCATTTAAAATGTAAGAATTGAATAATTGAGCGAAAAAGTTGTTATTTTTATTTTTACATCAGTCATTGTTTGTGTACAATTTTCATGACAGTTTTTTTTTCTCTTCCAACAGTTGAAAATTCCTTCAGTGGAAACATGCTGGCCCAAGTTTGACGACAACTTTTTCGGACCATGTCACCAAATCGCCCAACTCCATGTCCATCACAGGTAAACGTTCTGTTCTTGTGGTTGAATATCGAATTGCAATTTGACTTGGAATACCAACCTTAGGACAGAAAAAATGAATAAAATTAAGTTTTCACTCTTCAAAGAAGAGGAAACTATGCACTTCAAAATGGGCAGAAAAGTAAAGAAGATCAGAACAGAAGACTGATTTAGTGGCTACATCATTCTTGTGATATTTGACTTATTGATTTGTTATTGTTGCGATGTATGCAACATTGTATTGATTTGCCATGGTTCAAACCAAAATAACAGGACTTATCACACGTCCAAATTATGTTAATCAGTCACAATTGTGTCATTATCGAGTCATAAGACAATAATTAACTCACTTAAAACAAGAAATTTTCATTGCAAGAAAAACAACTCCGCACATTTTACCACCATGGTGCGAATACGACAAGGTTACGGGTCTGTTTACATTTCAATCATCGAAACGGCGATAAAAACATATGATATAGCCCCTGAATCAGTTCATAGTGAGCTAAGAAAAAGTATAGATTTTACTGAAAGCAGTGCCTGATTTTATGAGTATGAAGGCACTACTCAAATTATTTCATAACTAAACTGTATCGATTGTGAAACTACAATTACATGTGTGGATTTGAGATGGTGGCGATTTCCTCTCACATTTTGCCGTCGTAAGGAATTACAGACAGTCATTCTTGCTCAAAATTTTAAGTGAATTCGCCTATTCCCCCCAAGAAATTTTTGCTCTGTCTTGGTCAAGAAAATCTTTTGCTAAAATTTCTAGGAATTATTTCTCCTAGAATGAAGCAGGACTGGAAATAGAAAACTTCATTTTTGTCAGTTTTTGCAAAGAAAACTGGTAAGCGCACTACTGTATGTACACTAAGTCTGTTACGACGCTTTTATCTTTGTGTAAAGAAAACAATCAAGCGCATTTTTTGACCTCCACCAAGCCCCCTCACCAAATTTCATATGAAAGCTACCTGAATAATTTAATGTTGAAATTACAAAAGTATCAATGAGTAAATGTTGGAGTTTAAGTAATTATTCTTCACCAACCTGTGCTTGGCTCTCTGTAATTTGATATCGTAAAAATTTACTATTCTTGGGTGAAATGACAGCATCATTATAACCCAGGAGTGAAATAGGCTTTGAAAATTGTTCTGTCCTATTTATTTGGTGATTCTTTGCATTTCCAAAGATGAAAATATTTTGAGCTGCCTCAGATGAAAGACTTTGCAAAGCTTCTAACTGCTTTCTGTCCACCTTGTAAGACATCTGGAAACAAAATAGACTCATGGGATTATGACAATTAGTCGATGAAATGATACGTTCTTCAAATAAAATCACATTTCAAAATCCTACTCTTATATTCCTCAGCTAACAGGCCACTAGAAAAGTATGAGGCTTTAAGCTTCATTTTCTTAGATTTTTTATCAAAATTTTGTACCAAAAATTATTCACACCATCATTTTTTAAAATTTATCTTTAAATGGTATATCATCTGTATTTTGTATTGGTTACTAACCCTTCGGTATTTACTGACGAGTATACTAGTCTCGCTATCGGTAAGAAGAATAGGAAATGAAGAGTTAACTTTGCATGAGACTTGTCAACAATTTTTTTTTCCATTTCCGTAATCATTCGAAATTATCCTCCTCACCTGTGTTCCACCAATGGCATCCACAAGCCAGTTTTGTGAGCCGTCTTGAAGCAGAGATATCGAGGCTGTCTCATTTGGTGATGGAATCACACAGCTTGCGCCTTTTTGAAAATCACAAAGGACTAAAATTGAATCGTCGGTGTCCCATCCGTTTGGATCAATCCAGAATAAGCCTGCCATAAATTAATTTGAAATAATGGTTTAGTGTGAGTCACATTTTCAAACATCTAAGAAGCTGATATTATGTATAGCTTCTTTTTTTCAGTAGTTGAGTCTGTGTAGTATTGAGCATTAATTGTAATTTAAAACAAAATTACACAAGAAGGAAGTCAGAGAAATGATGCCACATCGATGGCCAAAGTGCAAAACTGCATATCTCCTTTTGCCATGTTGCGGACTTTTGTTCGCTCTTTATTTTTCCTTTGAAGAAGTAGTCAATGTAATTTCTTGAAAACTTCCTTGATTTTTCTTCTCTATTAGCAGAATATTCTGTATTTTCAAGTTAAGAAGTCGGCTTGTTTCTTTTGGAAAAAATATATCAGGAGCGAAAATTTTAAAAAACCGCAATGGAGATTTGTGGTTTTGAACTTTAACTATCAACATATGATAGTTATCCAATAATTCAAGCACGAAATAAGATAAATGCGATTTCTTATCAGCAGTTCATGAAAGAAAATGCACTGTAATGTTAGATATTAAATCTATGATATTTACAGGAAAAAGAACTGAAAATTATTTGTGTGGGTTTTACTCAATTAATTGGATGAATTCAACGTTTGTCAGTCCAACTTCATCAGACGTGGCCCAATTTCCTCTCATGTTTTATTTTTTCAACTCAAAAGTAATCGCCATTCCGACTTGAAATTTTATGAGTATATTCTCTACAAGCCAGGGAAAATGTACAGAATCTATTAAAAAATCAGAAATTGAATTCGAAACACTGCCAACTAGATTAATCAAAACTTCATACTGGTTGGTTTTGTTTATCATGTACAGTTGCTAAAATTTGCATAATCAATGCAGATCTATTACCGTTTTGTAAATTTGGATGTAGCCGGGCTAGTTCTTTGCATGTAAGTGCAGGAGCTTCTTTGGTGCCGTCTCTCATTTTTTGTTTTTTCTGAGCAGGTGAGGAATTCTTAATCCATGCAATAGTGTTCTGCACTTTTTCACCATCATAGTCCGTGTAAGGCGAGTCATCATTGTAGTCAGGAGGACTTGCAGGGCCCTGTCATTTTAGGAACAAAGAAGAATGGGAACGGATGATGTTTGCAAGTAAGGAAAACCTTTTTTTAACATGTGTGATTAACATTTTTCAAAATGTCAGGGTTTATACCACCGAGAAAACCCTAGAATTGGAATTTTGATGGAAAACATGGGGAACATCCAGAGAATTTGAAGTTGACTCGGGAATTTTCGCTTTTTCCAAAGGAAAGTTCTTCTATTTTATTATTAATAAGGCAAATATTTCTTTAAAATAGGATTGTGAGGTAGTGAAGTTAGGTAAGCTTTTAAAAGGCTGAGTTAGCCTTTTTAAGTTGTCGGCTATCAGAACCTCGGGAGAGTGATCGTGTTACACCTCTGTGACAAATGAGTTTTAAAGAGTTATTTTATGCAATCAATTATAGCATCATCTATCTCGAGAGAGAACCAAAAGTCGCCAACTCGGACTGATGAAACGGAGAGAAAACTGAATTTTAGAAAAAATTACCAAAAAGGTTTTGAAATTTGCTTCATTTTTTTATCTATTTTTAAGGCTGCATTATGATCCTACAGGGTGAGCGAAAAGTCCCCGACCCCCCGTCTAACTTTTGAACGAATTGACCTAGGGAAATGAAACTTTGGCAATGCTCCTACCTCAAAGGGGACCATCTTTTGAGGGGGTCAAAATTTTGGTCCCCCCCTCAGGGGGGGACGGGGGCCCCCCAACTTTTTTTTTTCAAATAGCAACCCCTATCTTGTGATACCTCATTCGAAAGAACATAAAAAACTAAGAATTTTGGCGCAAACCGCAGATCAATATCTTAATTTTTGACCAAGTTATGATAGGTCAAAGGTCAAATTTGACCTATTTTCAAAAAATCATAACTCCGGTTCAAATTAT